AATGATTAATGATTCAGAAAGCCTACTTGCACAGATAGTTTGCACACCCCACAAACAATCCAAGCTGTTCATTAATTTTAAAATAATTTTTTTAGTCACTTTGCAATTGAATACCCTACAAGTGCTTGATCCAATCATTTAAATTTTTTCCAAAAGTCCTTGAGAATTCAGGATCCTAAATTTTGAATAAAAATTTAAAAGATTAAATCAAGTATTTACCGGTATCTAATTGAGCTGATTTTTTACGGGATGGCTCAAACAATTTTTTTATAATCAAAATTAATAAACAGCTTGGATTGTTTTTGGAGACGCCCAAGTGGGTCCCACGAACGCGTCTGTGCATAATATGTGCACGCTATAAAATTGTTAATGATTATATGTTAAATTAAGGCTTTTGAGATTACTTTTTAGGGCTTTTGATTACTTTAACCTGGGTTGTCAATATAACGAAATTGGGTCTTTGGTTCTTTTTGGTAAATTAAACTTGTAAACATTGAAGTGAATGCAAAATTGACATAGTTACTGAACTATGGTTGCAATTCTCAACCTGACTATCCACACAGACATTATACACACAGATGGTAATGTCCCACTACGGGTCCCATATAAATGATCAGTGTCATTCATTAAATTTAAAATATTTTTTCAAGTCTCCACAAAAAATCAACTCAATCGGATTACTGTAAGTGCTCAATCTAATCTTCTAACTTTTCATCCAGATTTTAGGGTCTAAAATCCTAAAATCTAAATCTAAAATCTGAATGAAAAGTCAGATGATTAAATCGAGTAGATTGAGCCATAGTAGGCCCCACAATGCAATTTGTCTACAATCTATGTGTACAATGTTTGTGTGGACAGACTTTTCTATTCTAAATATAGGTACCCCCAATCAAAATCACGAAGCTTGCATCATAGAAATACATGCATATGGGTGTATATATACGTAGTTATTGTATAAATATAGACTTTAAACAAGAAGATTGTCATGGAGATAGACCGTAAATCGTTACGAAATATTATTGTCCTCTAGCAAAAAAAAAAAGTCCCAACTTCTTTGTGTTAATTCCATTGTACACAATCCTTTAATCAAATCCCTAAAATGTCAAAAAAGAAAACTACCACAAATACAAAATGAAATCACATTTAGACCTTCGATATAATTTATGGGAACAAGAACGATAAGATGAGGACTTTATTTATTCGGGCCTGTTCTACCCACACAACTTTTAACACAAGATCTCACCCATTCATTTCAATGCCTGAGATTAGAATACACTCTCTCCTCCCTCTCCATCTCCTCACCTAATCCCTCCCCTCTCCTTCCCCACCACACATCCCACCATTCTCAAACCAACTCTGGCTGGCTCCTCCATATCCGGCACATCCATCTCCAAAATAAATTGAGTCAGAGACATGGAAAATAGCTGAACAAAATCGAGTCAGAGACATCCTTAAGCTTATCTAGGTTTCGACCCATGAGTACAGCCAATCTTTAGTCGATCTGTTGATTTAATTTTTTGTGCAGCCGCCACTGACTGGGCCATAAGTACAGAATCCTATCCATGGCGGCCTGAGTTTTTGCAATTCACAGCAATATATCTATGGGGAATTTTTTTTGGAAAAATCTCCACAAAATGCACATATCTTGCTTGATTTTTAACCGGGGGTGTTCTTTTCTGGTACACTTGCTTCTTTGGTTTTGTCTTCACCAGTGAAGACGCTTGCCGGAGATAGAGGTCTTGAGATGGAGGGGCATGTCATGAAAGATGTAGGGAGAGAGGGGGGTGGGGAAAGATTAGGTGAGGTTGTGTGTGTGAACCCGTTTAAGTGGGTTTAATCACAGCCCCTAATTTGTGTGGTTGAGATGGAGTGTCAAAAATTGTGTGGGTGGAACTGGCCCGTTATTTATTAGCTTAGTTTGTCATTTAAGGTTTATCTTTTTAGTAAGAGAGCATATTTCTTATTTTAGGATTTTAGAAATCAAGGTTAGGCAATGTTTATCCTTGTCTTTTTGCAACCACTAGAAGAGGCAACACAAAATAACTCTACAAAGTACAAAGGTTGTTTTGATAGGTGATGGAAGGATTTTAGTTACAAATATGGTTTTGATACCGGGATATCATTACTTCCTTGGGCACCCCCATGGTATTTCCTTTTTGTATCTCGTCATCCTTTTGCAAAACCAAGTGCTCACGTATATTGAGAATAAACAATGTAGAAAACCATGTGTTCACGTATACTGGAAAGCGGCATTCATCCCATTGTCTCTTCACGTAAAACTGAACTCCATGCAAATAAATTCTTCAGTAGACTCCAACGAGCAATTTATGAGGTGATTCACACAAAAATGGTCTACCAGAAAACTCATATTAAACTTAGAGGAACTCAAAAATAAGTATAGCAGAAAATAAATTCAATAAAGTTATAATTAGCAACATAACAAAGAAAAATATGAGACAGAGAATTTCAGGAGCAAGATATTGCCAAAAAGACAAGAACAAAAATTAAAAACTCCTAGTCCAGTTCAACTCACAAACTGCACTCCAATCCCTACTAATCAAACAAATTGGAATTCCTTTAGAGGGAGAGACCCCAAGACCCAAAAAGAATTCAAATAACAAATCATATCCCTTAAACCTACAAAATCTTGCTCCTTATCTCCAAAGACACTAGCATTTCTTTCCAACCATTTCACCCACACCACCATGCAAACTCCAAACCTCCCAAGACACCTCGCCTGTCTAATTAAGAATAAAAGCCCCCTAATCAATCACAAACATATGAACACAAGGCAAAGACACCCATAACCATAAACTTCTGCCAATTGACACAATCTCTACCTTAGGACAACAGCAATCGAAAATGCAAAAATATGTGGTTAGTGCTCTCCTCACCACTTCTACAGAAACAACTACCATTGACCAAGCAAAACTTTTAACCTTACGAGACACACTTGCATTCTAGATCCCCTGGAAAATTATCAAAATGTGGTGCCATGGTTACGCGGAAAACAAATCGTTCCAGTATGAAGAACAGAGAATGTGGTACACGACATGCCTAAATCATTGTAAGCTAGGGGTAGGGTTCTACGCCTTACGATACGAAATTGAACTTCTTTCAAACAGTAAACATTGAATGAGGTCTGGTCTGATTGAAAGTCCCATCCTGTGGGATCGGATCCTACTCAAGACCTTCATCAACCAGGACTGGCTGAAGCAGACGTTGATTTAGATAGTTTCCAACGGCGAAAATCTGTCTCTTGGCCCCACCCTCATACGTCATACCCAGTCAGCCGAGGTTTATTCTATTGGTGGGGACCTGTAAGTCAGAAAGTCAAGCCCTTTTCATATCAATCTAAATCGATTCCTGAGAATGAGAACATTTTCTTCTTACGATTCAAAGCATACCGCGTCCTTTCCGAATCCCGATACTGTTGCAATTGACAGCCAGCTCCATCCGATCAAGTGAATCCCTGCGCTTGCTTCCTTCGTTGGCTTGAACTAAAGTCCAAGCTCCTGCAAGAAGGATGCCTCATGTTCCTTCCTCTCTTCACTCTCTAGATTCCGATCTGCATTCTTCTGGTACAAAGGCCTATCCTTTCACTTTCAAATGGAGTGAAGCCAGCGCTTAAGGGCTGAGGGGAGAACAAATGAATTGTATAAGCCCCTATACTCTTCCTTAAAGATGTCCCCCTTCAAAAGTTAGTCTAATCACTAAAATAGGGGGGTAGCTTGTCGTGTCGGACTTATGATATACTTTACATTTTTTAGTAGCTAATTCATACCTATATCATAGACGGCAATCCGTTCTCTTCCCTTTAGCAGTCTAAGGTAAGCGGTAGCATTCCCCTAATCGGTCTAGTCCATAGTAATAGGCGCAATCAGTACGATTATCTTTTTACGATTCTCTTTCCTTTCAATCTCTCTCTTCCCTTTCCTTTAACACTATACTTGTTGTGTAATAGGATCTTTCCGAAGGTGGAGTTAAGGCAGCAAGCATAGGTGCTTCGGTTTCCGGTAGCAAGTAATCAGGTATGTGTAAAGCAAATCCGTCCTAGTAGGCACAGGAGATCAAGCAAAGCATGACAGTCTTCAGTGACGTATTCTTGTAGTTCAAGAGTGAATAAGGAAGTGCAAGGCTAGCTGGCAGCTGTCTGACGAGTTCATTGCTCTCTATGGCCATTTGCCTTTAAGCTTAAGGCCAGTTAAAAAGAGTTGATAGGCGGATAAGAAAACGCCTACTTATAAGTCAGGCGCACCGGCGCACCAAGCAAGAAAACGGCTAGATTGACTGTCTAGCTCATGCAATCAACGAAAAATTCCATCGCGTTACTAAGCTAGCTTTGGTTGCTAAGCAAGCCTGGTTCTCCAGGCACTACGGTAGGACGTGGATCGATCATAACAAGAATGGACTTCTCCGTAATGTAATAGAAGAGTCACAGTCCAGTTCCCCGGGCTTTCTCCCTTCTCTACCAGACGAAGGAGATATTAATTCCATTTAGGCGGGCTTGGCTTGACCGTGTGTTCTCTCCTGGTTGCGTAGGAAGCAAAAACTGGCAAAGTTCATTATTCAGTGGTGGGGTGTTCATAGAAAAGAAGGCGTCGCCCAACGAGTGGCAGATTTGGATGGACGTGGATCGATCATAACGAGAATGGACTTCTCCGTAATGTAATAGAAGAGTCACAATCCAGTTCCCTGGGCTTTCTCCCTTCTCTACCAGACGAAGGAGATATTAATTCCATTCAGGCGGGCTTGGCTCGACCGTGTGTTCTCTCCTGGTTGCGTCGGAAGCAAAAACTGGCAAAGTTCATTATTCAGTGGTGGGGTGTTCATAGAAAAGAAGGCGTTGCCCAACGAGTGGTAGATTTGGACGGAGTCTCGTTCATACAGGAAGAGTACGCGCGGTAGCGCGCTACGGTTTACGCAGTTGATCGGATCAGATAGCCCTTCAGGCAACCAACCAAACCCGGCACATCAAATTCCATTCCGATCAACAACTTGGAGGTATGGCTGAGCGGCTTAAGGCATTGGTTTGCTAAATTGACATACAAGAAGATTGTATCATGGGTTCGAATCCCATTTCCTTCGGCACGGAAGTGGAACGGGCGGGCGAAATTACGTGAGAGAAAGAACCTCTTGGGGACCCCCGGAGGACAGAATAGCACTACTTAGTGAGACGGAGCGGAGAGCCCATTGCGCGTTGTTTTTGTTTGACCGTCTTCTTTCTAGTTGCAAGCTCCCTCCGGCTGTCCAGTCCCTGGACGGCTCTCGGTTCTTGAGCATGTTGGAGGATTAGGTGGCAGTTGAAAGAGCTGCTCGAAAGCTTGACGGAAAAAGCCCTTTCTTTTTTTTTTAGTAAAAGGCTTGCTTTTCCCTTACTAATCAAGTGGTAAGGTAAGGCGCTATTCGATGAAGAAAACAGACTTTAGGAAAGTGGTTTAGGTAGCTCAACTGGTTAGAGCAAAGGACTGAAAATTCTTGTGTCAGTGGTTCGAATCCACTTCTAAGTGGGCGAAGGGTCCAAAGGACACGTAGCCGGGAGCGAGCCGGATTTGGAAAGAAAAGTGAAAGAGTAAGCCAAAAAATGTGAGCGCTCCTGCACTATACGGCTTTTTGGCGTCGCCCTATCTTTCTGGAGGCAGATTTTTCTAAAAAAAAGCGGTGGATTACTCGGATTGGTTCTTGCGTCCCTGTGCCAAAAAGGATGGGCGAGTACGCTTTGAGTGTTCATCGATCGGGTGGATCTATATGCTCCGGGGTGGTGAGACGAGGTGTAGCGCAATCTGGTCAGCGCATCTGTTTTGGGTACAGAGGACCATAGATTCGAATCCTGTCACCTTGAATGTGGCTAATTGGTTGAAAAATCGAAATAAGCAATGTCAAAATTTGCACCTATTTGTATCTATTTAGTGATTAGTCTACTAGTTTCTTTGATCCTACTCGGTGTTCCTTTTCTATTTTCTTCCAATAGTTCGACCTTTCTTATTTTCCGTAGATGCTTCTTGCCTTTTCTTTTATTCTCTACTTTCATTTTGATTTGGTTATCTATTTCTCTCTTTTTAGATTTGGATTTGAATCTGCTTTTTATAAAGGTAGAATCTCTGCTCCTAAGAAAAGGGATCTCCTTTTTCTTCCAAAGAAAAGAGTAGGGTGGGAAGTCGGCCCCATTTTGGGCATCATCTTCTCTTTTGTTGAGGGACAACAGTATGCCCCATTGAAGGAAACTTTATGGATCAAGGCAGAAGCTAGGCGGGCCCGTCAACCCTGCCGGATCTCAACAGCACCCCGCTGCCAGATCTGAACAAGCTTCCATCTCCTGCTCAAGAAGAGCTGCGGGAAGCCGAGCAGGAAGAGCTGCGGAAGAAGCACGTCTGGGGCCCTTCGGACCCCTATTCTATCGAGGCGAGCAAGGCAGAACGCCTCAGGATGTTTGGGGCTGAGGAAGTCCAACGGCAGGATGCCGAGGCTTTCCGACGAATCCAGAAAAGGACCTTAGGGGAACTCTTGCAGCTGAATGAAAAAACCGTGAAGGAAATGAAAGCCTTCTACGAGGATTTTTCTTTGGGGGGGGGCATAATAAAAGATTTTGAGGGACCGCTGCCGAACGGGCAGACCTATCTAAGGATCCAGAGTTTTTTTTTTTTGAGAAAAGTCCCATCCTTCAATATCATGATTGGGTCGACCAGGCCAAATCATGAGTGAAATATCATGATCGGATCGACCAGGCCAGATCATGAGTGAATAGAAAATTGAAAATGTACATAGCTGTTCCAGCGGAAATACTTGGAATAATTCTACCACTTCTACTAGGAGTAGCCTTTTTAGTGCTAGCTGAAAGTAAAGTAATGGCTTTTGTGCAACGTCAAAAGGGTCCTGATGTAGTGGGATCGTTTGGATTGTTACAACCTATAGCAGATGGTTTGAAATTGATTCTAAAAGAACCTATTTCACCAAGTAGTGCTAATTTCTCCCTTTTTAGAATGGCTCCAATGGCTACATTTATGTTAAGTCTGGTCACTCGGGCCGTTGTACCTTTTGATTGTGGTATGGTATTGTCAGATCCGAACATAGGGCTACTTTATTTGTTTGCCATATCTTCGCTAGGTGTTTATGGAATTATTATAGCAGGTCGGTCTAGTAATTAGGGGCCGGCTGTTCGGTTGCCTATGATACTAGGACCAATAGGTCAAAAATGGGTTTGTGCCGCAGGTGTTGAACGATCTACTCTACACAGGTGTGGGCTTACAGGGCTAGGGCTCATAAACCCTTTCTTTCATTCATCAATAGGGCCCTGGTCGGTCACTTTTCAGGGCCGGGATCGATAAGTGGAAGTCATAAAATAATAAAAAGATTCACTGTCTTTTAACTGGCTGTTCTTCTTTGTCAACGCTACTAAGGACCTATAGGTTCGCCTACTTTACTTATGAAAGATAATGAGAATGGGTTATTCAAAAAGGAAAAGGCGCTACTTAGTTTCGCAAGCCTTTGTCATTGTCAGTCAGCTAAGTAGCGCCTGAGGCCCCCTGCGAATCCGTAAATCTAAGGAGCATGCCGCAACAAAAGGATGGTCCCCTATGCATATCATTATTTTCAGAAGGAAAAAAAAATAGTACCCCCCATCATGGTGAACCTCTCCTTGTGATCGAGATGAGGTAGATGTCTCCCAGCCGGGGGGCGGATCGAATTGGAGTTTCCTTAGGTAGCCACCGACCTACAGTTATCCTTAAACTTCCGTGCTTGGTGGAGAAGAAGCGAACAAAGCTACGCTCGCTTGCTATCCTGTTCTCTGTCGCGAACTGGGATTGCTCGCCAGCTAGGTCAGATTGGAGCAACATTGTATGAGAATTTATTACCCATATTCGGGGGGACAAGGGGCGGAACGACCTCTCGATCTATTTACTGCAGCCCAGGAATAACAACGGCGTCTAGGCGTTCCCTATGCTCCGATCCCCCTTACACCTAGGACGTTGTCTGGGCCAAGAGCCATAGTTAGTTGATGTTTCCATTTGGTTGTTTTTTTTTCTCGTTGTTGATACCAGCAAGACCCAGCCAGATGATGTCTGCTGGTTGGTAGTGAGAGGACTCTTAGTACCTGCATACCCAAAAGGGGGCGCTATTTAAAAAACAATCATTTTGTTTTGTTTTTTGCTTTCCATTAGCAGTGGGAAAGGAGTCTATATATCTGCCTAGCTTTGGTAGATTTCCCCCGACGCAATCTACAGAAATTCCACGAATCCCTTGGTGGATAAGTCCGAAGACTCAGCAGCAGTGCGGAATTTCCTTTCTCGTCTGGTGGATCTGATCTATAGTTAGGGGGCAATACATACCAAAAGGTTCGAAGAAGGAACACGCATAAGAGTATATAACCAACCCACCCTTCTTAAAGAGACACGATACTAATGACAATACTCACACTCTACTTTCTGTTATTCACACCCCTCTGAGGAGAAATTAATGTGGATTGTATGGAGTAAAAAGAACTGAGTAATAGCAATTCATGATTCCCTAAAAACCAACAAAAACCAAATGCCACAAAATGGCTAGAAATGCCTCATGACTATATCAACAAGCAAACATTTCAATCACAAAATGGAATAAGAAATCATTCATAAAAGAAATTGCCCCTGGTATCTAGTTTGTATCCGGAAATGAAGAGCAGAAAGAAATACCCTCTTCATCAAAAAATTACGCAAGTCACCATATGTTTGGAGCTTATTAACTGGAATCTGCCAAAGAAGCCACATTATATTGGACGAGCAACAAAAAATAACACAGGCATAAAAAAGTGTATCAAGAAAATTTCATAGTAATCAATCTGATCCAATATCATCCCAAAACTGCTTGCCCTTCTTTTAGTTGTACTTTTTTGCAATATTTCTTTTTTGCATCAAAATATTTGCTTTATGTTGCCAACCAAAAAAACAAAAAATAGTGAATGGATCTACATTAAACCATCTTGACAAAGACCAAGGGAATTTTAACTTTTCAATTTTCCTCCATCAGGTTGGAGCTGATATTCAACTTGAATGGAGGATTTTAATACATTTGCATTAAACAAACAAGAATGGTTGTAGGAAGCACAAATGCTCCCAAAATATTAACAAAAAGGTTAGGGAGGAGTTGGATAGTGGACACCACATGTTGACATCATCTTACTCTATTTCTTTTATGAGCAACAAAGAATTCAACTAAAAAGAGAGACACTATCTTGTTACCAAGAAAGAATTTCCTTAAAATAAGGTGATACTAAACCATGAGAAGGAAAATATCATAATATATTCCTCCTAAGTAATTGTTGCCTTCATGCCAAACATGCCACTAAACTCTGTTAGAGCTTGTCCCACATCAGTTAATAATCATCTCCAAAACTAGAATATGAGCCTAGGGGGTCTCTCCCCTCATTGCTAATTGGTTTTGAGTTGGAACTTTAATTTGGTACTAAAGCTAAGCTTTCGGTGGCTTTTGGATGGAAGTCTGGGGTCGCATGTGCGAAGAGTGTTACAACTTGTCCTAAATCGGTTAATAAACATCTCCAAAACTAGTATATGGGCTGGGAGGGCCACTCCTCTCATTACCAATTGGTTTCGAGTTGAATGCCTTAACAAACTCAAAGCACCACAAGAACACATATCCGAAGTGATAACCCTTCCTTAAGACCGAAGTCCCACAAACCAATTAGGAGCATCAGAGCAAAGAAAAAGGAACCACTTAACCAACCTCTGCCAATCAAAATAATCTCCACCATACAGTCAACAGGGATGGCAACGGGTCTGGTTTTGATCTGGGGTACTCTTTCCATAACAGATCCCCAACCTCTATGCTCACCAAACCCATGGCCGTATAGATTACAGGTAAAACAGGTATACCAAATACCCAATTGCACAGCTAAGAAAGAGGCAAATATAATAAATAATTTATTTAAAAAATGTATGAGATAAAGAAAAGTTCAGAAATATTCAAATATATCAGACTATTATGTTCAAAAACTGCATACATTATTTTTGTTCTAAGTTTTTAAGTAGGCACATTTACACTCCTCATCATCTAAAGATGATCAAAAAGTGGTAGGCTCACTAGGATCGCCAATA